CTTGGCAAGGCCAGGCGTGGCGGCGACGGAGCCGGGCGAACACTCAGCCGGCGGCGCCGCACCGCCGCCGCACGACGATCCCGCCGGGCAAACAAAACAGTCGGGATCGCCGTCGGCGTCGATCGCGTTGGCGTATGTACCCGGCTCGCACGCCGCAGGCAGCTCGAGCGACGCGCCACGAGGACAGAGGCTGCCGGGCTTGCACCGGAGACACTCGGCGGCGCCCGTGTCGTTCTGGTAGGAGCCAGCAAAGCACCGCTCGCACTTGGAGAGGCCAGGCGTGGCGCCGAAATGACCGGGCTCACAGGGCTCGCACGTCTCGCTGCCCTCCGCCCCTGGCGCCGCGCTCGCCGTGCCGATGGGGCACAACTCGCACGCCGCGCTCGAGCTGGAGCCTCTGTTCGGGTTGAAGCTGCCCGCGGGGCAAGGCTGCCAGACAAGGCGCGAGGCGGCGCCCGCGTCCTCGCAGACGCCGCCCTTCGGGCAGGCTTCGCAGGCGGCGCTGCCCACGTCGGGGGAGAAGGAGCCCGCAGCACAAGGCAAGCACTCCTCCTGGCCGCTCTCTGGCTGGTATTGGCCGGGGGCGCAGAGGAAGCAGTCCGAAATGTTCGCCGCCCGCCTGTTGGGCATGTGGGTGCCGGCGGGGCACTTCTGTGGGAGGACCGATCCCTTCGGGCAGAAATGGCCGGGCCAGCAGGGGCCGCTGCAGTCGGAGGTAGAGTGGTCGGGCGCGTGCCCGTAGTGACCCTCCGCGCAGAGCCTGTTGCAGCCGGACAGGTCGCCAAAGAGCTGGCCGACGTTCGGCATCCAGTAGCCGAGCGGGCAGTCCCACGTTAGAGGCGAGGCGGCGAGGATGGTGATGTCTCCTGGCGCAGAGTTGCCGGAGAAGGTCGTGTTGCGGAGGAGCGAATCGGTGGCACCGACGCTGGAGGCGAAGAAGAGTGCAGCGGGGGATGCCTCCGCCATGTTGTCGACAAACTGCGAGTTGGTGAGAGCTAGGCGCTCGATGCCATTGAGATAAAGAGCCTACAAAAGAGCACAGTCTGGTCGCCTCCCGCTTCAGTCTGTGCACCCTCTTGTGGAGGGGGCGCGCGGCACCGCTTGTGAGCCACTCGTGCACTCGACAAAGCTGGCGCTCTCCAGCGAGACGTCGCCGCTGTTCTCCACGCGCATACCTCCTCCGGACTGCGCGAGTTGGGGCGGGCAGGCATTAAGGCGTCAGGGAGCGAGAGAGTGCGGGCAAGGCCCAGAGCGGCCCTTTGGGGAAAGCGTGCCCCTTCTCCACCCCCATGCCCCTCTGCCTTCTTCTGCCGCTACCGGCGCGGCGATGGCGTGCGAGCGTGTGTGTACGGGGGAGGCAAGCGCGTGTGCGGGCGTGGGAGACGCACCCAGCCAGCCGTGCACTCGCTGAAGCTGGCGCCATCCAGCGAGAGGTCGCCGCTGCTCCACACGGACATACCTCCTCCCCACTGCGCGAGTTGGGGCGGGCAGGCATTAAGCGGGGAGGGCGTCAGCGAGCGAGAGAGGGCGGGCAAGCCCAGAGCGGCCCTTTGGGGAAAGCGGGTCCTGCCACCCCAATGTCCCTCTGCCTTCTTCTGCCGCTTCCGGCGCGGCGATGGCGTGCGAGCGTGTGTGCGCGGGGGAGGCGAGCGTGTGCGGGGGGGCGTGGACCTCGGCAGCCGTGCACTCGCTGAAGCTTGCCCTCTCCAGCGAGACGTCGCCGCTGCGAATCACGTGCATACCTCCTCCGTGCTGCGCGAGTTGGGGCGGGAAGGCATAAGCGGCGAGGGAGCAAGAGAGGGCGGGCAAGCCCAGAGCGGCCCTTTGGGGAAAGCGGGTCCTGCCACCCCATTGTCCCTCTGCCTTCTTCTCCCGCTTCCGGCGCGGCGATGGCATGCGAGCGTGTGTGCGCGGGGGAGGCAAGCGTGTGCGGGCGTGGGAGACGCACCCAGGCAGCCGTGCACTCGCTGAAGCTGGCGCCATCCAGCGAGACGCCACCGCTGTTCTCCACGTACACACCTCCTCCGTGCTGCGCGAGTTGGGGCGGGAAGGCATAAGCGGCGAGGGCGTCAGGGAGCAAGAGAGGGCGGGCAAGCCCAGAGCGGCCCTTTGGGGAAAGCGGGTCCTGCCACCCCATTGTCCCTCTGCCTTCTTCTCCCGCTTCCGGCGCGGCGATGGCGTGCGAGCGTGCGTGTGCGGGGCAGGCAAGCGTGTGCGGGCGTGGGAGACGCACCACGCCAGCCGTGCACTCGCTGAAGCTGGCCCTCTCCAGCGAGACGTCGCCGCTGTTCTTCACGAGCATACCTCCTCCCCACTGCGCAAGTTGGGTGCGGGCAGGCGTAAGCCGCTTCCGGCGCGGCGATGGCGTGCGAGCGTGCGTGTGCGGGGGAGGCAAGCGCGTGCGGGCGTGGGAGACGCACATCAGCCGTGCACTTGCTGAAGCTGGCGCCTTCCAGCGAGACGTCGCCGCTGTTCTGGTACACGAACATACCTCCTCCTTTCTGCGCGAGTTGGGGCGCGCAGGCGAGGGCGTCAGAGAGCGAGAGAGGGCGGGCAGGCCCAGAGCAACCCTTTGGGGAACGCGTGCCCCCCTTTGCCTTCGCCTCCCGCTTCCGGCTGCGGCGATGGCGTGCGAGCGTGCGTGTGCGGGGGAGGCAAGCGTGCGTGTGGGAGACGCACCTCGCCAGCCGTGCACTCGCTGAAGCTGGCGCCATCCAGCGAGACGTCGCCGCTGCTCTCCACGCTCATACCTCCTCCGTACTGCGCGAGTTGGGGCGCGCAGGCATTAAGCGGGGAGGGCGTCAGCGAGCGAGAGAGGGTGGGCAAGCCCAGAGCGGCCCTTTGGGGAAAGCGGGTCCTGCCACCCCATTGTCCCTCTGCATTCTTCTGCCGCTTCCGGCGCGGTGATGGCGTGCGAGCGTGTGTGCGCGGGGGAGGCAAGCGTGTGCGGGCGTGGGAGACGCACATTGCCAGCCGTGCACTCGCTGAAGCTGGCGCCCTCCAGCGAGACGTCGCCGCTGCCGTACACGAGCATACCTCCTCCGTACTGCGCGAGTTGGGGCGGGCGGGCATAAGCGGGGCGTCAGCGGGCGTGGGGCTGCTCAGGCAAGCACAAGGCATGGGGGAGGCATGCGACTAAGATGGCCTTGGGGGGCATTCGCAGCATTCCTTCTCTTTATGTGGCGAGCGGTGCGTGGGAGAGAGGGCCAGACGCACCAGGTCAGCCTCGCAGCCCGTGAAGGACACGTCCTTCATCGCAATATCGCCAGCGCCAGACGCGCGCACCGCACCGCCTCTATCACCACGCCCGTCCACAAAGTGCAGCGCCTCCAGGTAGAGGCTGCAGCCACCCGAGATGTCGAACATACGGGAGCTCTTCTTGCCGTCGAGCGTTGCGCCCTCCCCGCTGCTCCGGACCGAGATGTGCATCTCGTCGCTGCACCCGACATTGCTGCTAAAGGCAAGGCGGGCGCCCGGCGGGATGAAGACGATCGCGTTGCGGTTCTCGGCCTTGGCGTTGTTGATCTCGTCCCGGATGTCTTGAGGCGTGCGGGCGAGGGCCTCGCCGGGGACGAGCGGGGGCAGCGGCGGCGGCTGTGGCGGTGACGGCGGCGGCGACGGCGAGGGGAATGCCAGCGTCAGGGCGATGTCCGTCCAAGGGTTGCACCACACCGTCCAGGTCGTCGTGCCGAGCGGCGGCGAGGAGGAGTAGGAGTTGATGTAGGCTCTGAAGTTGCAGCTTCCGTCGCCATCGAGGTCGCTCGACGCCGTGGTGCTCGGCTGATCAGCGTCCACGATCCAGTTCGCTCCAAATCCGTTGCCATTGCAGTCGGGGTCCCAGTAGAGGTAGCTAAACGAGGACGTCGAGGCGCGGTAGTACGGCGCTCCCGAGGCGGTGTAGCCAGCAGCGACGTACTCGACGTTGTCGAGGGCAGCGCTTTGGCCAGCGCAGCCTCCGGTGATCACGAGCGGCGGCGGGAGCGGCGGTGGCGGTGACAGAGGCGGCAGCGGCGGCGGCGGCGGCAGCTGCGGCGGTGACGGCGGCGGCGGCGGCGCCAATGGCGGCGGGGAGGGCGGCGCAAACGGTACAACAAAAGACTTCCGCTCCTCATCGGACCCAGAGGCAACGGTGAGGCCCTCTTGCCCGAGGCCCGACCAGCTAGCGCCGTTCCAGCCGTCGCCGTACGAGTCCTTCATGACGAGCTCGCACTCGACGCCGGGCGAGAGGGAGACGCCGTACTCGGCCTGGAAAGGCTCTCCGCTCGCGTAGGGCGCCGACGAGAGGACGACCGTACCGCCGCACCAGAGGTCCCAGCTCACCTCGTTAGGCCACGATCCCGGCGTCGTGGTGACGGTGTAGTATGCGAGCGGGTACGAGGGCGGAGAGGGAGGCGGTGACGGCGGCGGGGAGGGCGGAGACAGAGGCGGCGTCACGTAGCACTCGTAACGGCTGTCACCAGAGCTGCCAACGATAAGCGAGCGGTCCTCCAACCACTCGGTGCGGGTGCAGTCGTCGGTGCAGCCGGTGCTGGTGTACACGACCGAGGCGTAACCAGGTTCGGTGCGAAACGCGATGGCCACGCATGCGAAATCGTTGAAGCACGCTTCCTTTGCACTGGCAAGCGATTGGTACACGACGAATTTGCGGGCGGTGCCCTCGCCATTGTTGGCGTCGGTGCACCAGCCTACGCCCTTATAATCCCATGATGTCGGCGGGGACGGCGAGGCGGACGGAGGTGGCGGCGACGGCGAGGTGGAGGGAGGCGGCGGAGGCTGCCGAGGCGTTGGCAAGTCGGCTAGCTTCACGTAGCACTCGTAACGGCTGTCACCAGAGCTGCCAACGATAAGCGAGCGGTCCTCCAACCACTCGGTGCGGGTGCAGTCGTCGGTGCAGCCGGTGCTGGTGTACACGGCCGAGGCGTAACCAGGTTCGGTGCGAAACGCGATGGCCACGCATGCGAAATCGTTGAAGCACGCTTCCTTTGCACTGGCAAGCGATTGGTACACGACGAATTTGCGGGCGGTGCCCTCGCCATTGTTGGCGTCGGTGCACCAGCCTACGCCCTTATAATCCCATGAGGCCTCGCCAGACCCAGCCACGGGAAGGGCGGAGATCAGCAGCAGCAAGGCCACCGAGCTGCGACTCTTGCTCAGCCGAGGACGGACCGCCTTGCTCGCTCGCTGCCCGGAGGCTGCACCGGAGCGCAGCAGCCAGCAGGCGCCGCACGCTTGGAGAAGCAGTACCGCCGCACAAGCGCAGCAGCACCACCACTCGCGGAGGGAGGGCTGGCCACGAGTGGCGGCGTCGTCGACGATGGCGCGCACGAGGCCGCTCGCGCCGGTCTGGAACAGCGTCTCGTCCGAGCCCGCCTCCTCCAAAAGGCGAGACGCCTGTTTGGCTCCGCGCTCGTTGCCGGCGCACCGCGCCTCGCCGGCCCTGTCGCCCCCAAAGTTACGGCACGCCGTCAGCACGGTGGAGGAGGGGCTGGCGCGCAAGTAGCCGGCTGGGACGCCGATGGTCGCAAGAGAGGTGTCGTCCGAGCACTCTGCGTTTGGCGGGCAAGGTTTGCAGTAGTCGGTCGGGGAGGAGAAGACCTCGGCCGTGTCCATCAGTGCTTCCAACAAGCGCCCCTCCTCGTGCCCGCCCTCAACAGCGCGCGGGCTGTGGGTCACGAGCTGGCGCGGTGCGGGTACTAGCAAGCGCGAGCGAGCAAGCACCGGGTGGTCGGCGGGCACGCTGTCCGAAGAGGCGATGGCTGCACACGAGCTGGTGTCGTCGCCGCCAATCTCGCAGACGCCGTTGAGCGATGCCGGCGTGAACGGCGTTGTGACTGCGGGAAAGGAAGTCGGGGACTCGTGCCACTGCGAGGAGAGAAGCGCGGAGGTGGCAGAGTACGAGGAGAGCGCAAACGCGGTTCCGAGGCAGAGCAGCGCGAGGATGCCAAAGAGGCGGAGCAAGTAAGTCGGGCAGAACTTGGGCCAAGAGAACCAGCCGGAGGCAGAGACGGAGCCCTCCGGCGTGGTAATCGTGGTCGTCTCGACGTTGGCCGTCGCGCCCTGAACAGGAGGGCGCGAGACTGGCGGTTGAGCGGCGAGCGGGGGAGGAGGCTACATGTATGCAGGCGGCGAGCACCGAGTCTGTGGTCGGCGGCGTGGAGCCGCCGGTCACCTTGCCGGTGCCACCGAGGATGCCCTCGTTGCCGTTCGTTCCGAGCAGGGCCCCGAACCGGTTGTTGCCGCCGACCGGGGCGATGCTCTTGGTGCGGACGATCGGGGCGGACGCGCCCTTGCGCCCCTTCTTGCGGCGCGGGTTCGACGGGGTGGTCCAGTCGGAGATGCCCTGCGCACGCGCAAGCGGTGGGCGTGTCAATAGTTGAGGCTCCGCGTGTGCACCGCAGCGCGTGCGAGGCGCTCACCGCCGGGGCGGGCTTCTCCGCTGGCGGAGACTCCTTGGCCGAGACGGTCCAGTCGGCGTCGCCCTACGCATCAATGAAAGCGGGGTGGGTCAAGGGGTGGGTCGGCAAACGCACGGCGCAGAATGCAAGGCGCTCGCCGCCGGCGCGGGCGTCTCCTCCGGAACCTCCTCGATCGACGGCAGCGGCGCGCCGCCGGTCGCCACCGGCGTGAGGGCCGGGGCGTTCGTGGTGACGCCGTTGGGGGCCGTTGGTGGGTCGGTCGGGGTGGTGCTCTTGGAGCAGTCGACCAGGTTGGGCTCGCCCAACCCGTTGGGGTCGACGCGGCCGATCGGGGTGGGGTTCTTGGTGGTCTTCTTGGAGCGGTCGATCAGGTTGGGCTCGCCCTTGCGCTCGATCTTGCGGAGCGGGGAGGCGGTCTTCCACCCGTCGATGACCTGCGCGCGCGTGCCGTGCGGCAGACGAGAGGTCACAGGATCAATGTAAGTGCCCGCCTGCATGACTCGCGTGTCCCCGCAATACCCGCGTGTGCTTCTGCTGGGGGGTGCTCACCGCCGGGGCGGCCGTCTCCTGCTCTGGAAACTCCTTGGTCGAGACGTTCCAGTCGGCGTCGACCTACGCGTCGAACGCGGGATGGGGTCACAGAGTGGGTTGGCAGACGCCGGCGCGAAAGATTGCCAGGCGCTCGCCGCCGGGGCGGGCTCCTCCTCCGGAGGCTCCTTGACCGACGGCAGCGCCTCGCCGCAAACCGCCGCCTTCTTGAGAGCCGTGTCGATCTTGATGACCGGCTTGAGCGCCGGGTCGTTCTTGATGACGCCGGTCTCGTCAACGGAGGCCTCCGCGCCAGACTTTGCCGCAGCCTTCTTGAGGGCGCCCACGACGGTCGGGCGCTCAAACTTGGACCAGAAAACGGCGGGCGCGTGGGCGGCGAACATGGCCTTGGCCTTGTCCGAGTCGAACGCGCCCGCGTCGGGCGCCTTTTCCGCGGCCGGGTCCTTCTTGAGGACGTCCTCCGTGGCAGACTTTGCGACGGTGATGTTGACGTTGTTGACGCCGCACGCCTGTGGCGAGGGAGAGAACGCGCAGGCTTTCAGAGACCGGAGGGGGGTGATCACGATCCTGGCGAGCGCACGCGCACCTTGGCTCCGAGGAGCGAAGGCGACTCCGACGCGGAGATGACGAGCGTGATGCGGCCGTCGTCAGCCGGCACGATTCCGACCTTCGCGAAGGACTTCATCGGCGAAGACTCGCCCTCGACGTCGTCCTCCTTCACGACGTCGTCCTTGACGCCGCACGCCTGTGGGCGAGAGCGCATACGCAGGTGTTCGGAGACGGGAGAGAGAATTGTTACCGGTGGGTGGGAAGCGATGAGTGCCAGGAGAGAATGCTGCGGCGCGCTCACCGTTGGGTCGGGCGTGTTGGAAACGGTCTTGGCCGGCTTCTCGACCTCCTCGGCGACGACCTCCTCGGCGACGGGCGCCTCGGCGACGGGCGCCTCGGCGATGGTGGCCTCCTCGGCGACTGCCTCCGCGGCGGCGGACACCTTGGCGGCGGCGGACTTGGCGGCGACCTCCTCGGTGGCGGACTCCTCGGCGACGACGGCCACCTCAGTGACGGACTCCTCGGCCGCGGACTCCTCGGTGGCTGCCTCCTCGGACTCCTCCTCGGTGGCGGACTTGGCGGCGGCCTCCTCGGCGGTCGCCTTCTTGGCGGCGGCCTCCTCGGTGGTCGCCTTCTTGGTGGCGGCCTCCTCGGCGGTCGCCTCCGCGGTGGCCGACTCGGCGTCCTCCTCGGCGGCGGCGGACTTGGCGGCGGACTCCTCGGCGGCGGCGGACTTGATGCCGCACGCCTGGGTGAGGGGAGAACACGCAAGTGTGCGGAGACAGGGAGACCGTAGAGGGATGATGACAATCCTGGCGTGCGCACACTCACCTCGGCTCCGAGGAGCGAAGGCGACAGCGACGTGATGCCGACAGGAGCCGTCGGCGCAGACTCGGACGGGACGTCATTGCCGTTGCCGATGACGTCATTGAGCGACGCGGGCTCGCTCTTGGACGAGATGCCGTCGTGCTTGCCTCCGGCAGAGTCGATGACGGACAAGGGCGGCGACGGAAGTGGCGGGCACGAGGTTTTGTCGACGGTGAACGTGAGGCGCCGCGAGGTCTCGGCGCCGGCGAACGATGCGCCTACCGACGCCGCAAACACGACGCCGACGTACTCGAGCGAAGCGGGCTTGCCCTGCTCGGACGGGATGACGTCCTCGAGCGAAGCGGGCTCGCCCGACGGGATGACGGACGGGATGACGTCCTCGAGCGAAGCGGGCTTGCCCTCGGACGGGATGCCGGCGGCCTCGCCTCCGGCAGCGTTGACGGTCGTGTTGCCCGCCAGCGACGCCTGTGTCAGCCAGAAGGCCAGAGGATACGTCTTGCAGGTGGGAGCGCATTGTCACGTGCGCGAAAGCACAAGCCTGCTTGTCAGCAAGCGGCGGCGGCGGAGGAGAGAGCTTGAGCACGAGCTTGTCACCAGCGGCCGGCACCAGCTCGAGTTTGAGCTTCATGTTGATCGAGTTCCTGCAGCGCGCGGGGGTATGCACGCCAAAGAGAGTCGATAGATGCAGCTCATGGAGAAGGCTGTGTGACGGGTTCATGTGAAGGCTGTGTGAAGGACAACGTGTGGAAGTAAGTGCTACTGGTTGGAGTTACTGGAGACTGTGCAGAGCACCACTATTATTACTGGTCACTGGAGACTGTGCAGAGCACTCCTATTATGACTGGGGACTGGAGACAGTGCAGAGCCACTAGACTGTGCAGAGCACCATTATTATTACTGATTACTGGAGACTGTGCAGATCACTCCTATTATGACTGAGGTCTGGAGCCTGTGCAGAGAACCATTATTCTTACTGATTACTGGAGACTGTGCAGAGCACTACTATTATTACTGGGGACTGGAGACTTGTGCGGAACACTCGGCGAACGGAGAGGTCAGCACCGTTACGGGATCATGACCATGTGAAAGAGGGTCAAAAACTGCTATGGAGATGTCCAGGGGGTATATGGGGTATATGGGCGTATATGGGCGTATATGGGGGTATATGGGGGTACATGGGGAGGAAGGAGAATATCTCGAGGGATCTCCGAGAATTGGATCAATCGTCGCAATCTCCACCCCGCCGCCCCCCCTCCCCCAGCCCCCCCCCCCCCCCCCCC